TATAACTTAATAAAAAAAAACAACTGCAAAAAAAAAGTTATTGGTAAAAAAAGTATCAGTTATGCCTACCGGATCCGGTGACCGGTTTAAGCCCTACAGAACTCTCATAGGATGAGACTCACGCCCTCAAAACCCTAAAGAAAAGAAGGTTTAACCAAATTACAATATATATAAAACCCTCTGGACTGGAAAGTACAGTGACCCAATAAATCCAAACAGTCACAGGAAACGGCTTAAAATTTTTAAGACTTTTAACAGAAATTATTAATAAAAATAAACTAAAAGAACTTTTTTAACATTTTTGGCTTATTATAAGTCTTTATTTGACAGTCAATATCAATATACCCCATAATTTTCAAAAGCTGTAACTTTTGAAACATTTGCTTTCGCTCAAATATTTTTACATATTTTTTGTCTGCAATAAGAAACTAATTAAAAAAAAAGTTTAATTTAATCATTCTAAAAAACTGAAAAATTATTATATTCTTTCTTTTCTTTTTCCTCGCCTTAATTCCAACTACTTGGTGTCGGCCACTTTATCCTAAGCTTCCACTTGATACGATAACCCATATCATCTACGCTCACATTAGGCCTCTATCTTGTTTGGACATCCTCTACCTCTTCTTCCTTGAACATTCATTTCCATAACTTTTCTATCAGCTTCTGATTAATACGAATAAGAAATTTCTTCCTACAAGGGGCGAATAAAGTGATGGGATCTTTGATCTTTATTGAAGTTATTGAATCTAAATGAGATAAAAATCAAATGAGTTAAAAATTTATACTAACTTAAAAAAAATTAAGAAAAAATACAAAAAATTCATTGTCATACGCGGTCTAGTACCTCTTACCCCAATCGTGTAAAGTATAAGTTTTGACAACTCTGCAACCGTACGTCGCTAACAATCTATGAAAAAGTTGGCTATTTAAGCTAGTTCAAATTTCAAAATTATTTTTCTCGACTTAAAAGAAGCAAACAAATTTAAATAAGTATAACTTTCTATTCTATATTAATTTTTCATTTATATAATATTTATGAAAATCTGTACTCCCCTTGTCAGGTATTTTAAAATAAAATAAAATACAAAACCCAGAATTTTAACACAAAAATAGCATATTTTTGAATACGGAAGTCATTTTTACCATGAAGACAAATCCAGATTTACAAAAAAACCGTGCCAGATGAAAGGGGTGTATAAATATTTATTATAAAAAAGTAATAATATTGATCCATAAATTTTTCCAAAAGTTATATAAAATATAAATTAAATAATATAAAATATAAAATCGAGAATTTTTTCACGGAAATCGTACGTTCTTCTTTAACTTTGATGTCCGTTTTCACCACGAAGACAAGTCCATAGGTCAAATTTTTTTTTTTCAAATTAAAGTATATTACATTAGTTTTAATTTAAAATATATATAAAAGTGTCAGTCTTTCCGGAACATTTTCAAAAGTTAAGTTGAAAAAGTTGTCTTTTTAAATCCCTCTCTGTGTGCAGATAAAGGGTCAAATGTTCACAAAAATATATAAAATGATAGGTAAATATCTAAGGTATTTATAAAAAAAAAAGTTATATTGATTCGATCATTTTTAAAAAAGTTATGGCAATTTTAAGTAAAAAAAATTGAAAAAATATCGAAAATTAGCGATTTTTAAANGTTTTACTTGACAATCGTATAATATCAATTCCAAACAGTAACTTTATTATACATATATATATTTATAAACTAATAAATATTCAATATATCAATATATTAACATTAGAATAATAATAGTAGAAAAAAAAACAAACAAAACGAAACATCACCCAGCCATCAGCCATCCATAGTGCAATTAACGCTGAATCGACTGCCAAAACGCTTTTGCGTATGGAATGTTAACCTCCGCTGCTCTATTTCCGTTGAGCACTCGAGTAATAGCACGTAACTGGTAATATAAAGTGTTGGTTGTCACCTAAACAGGCCAATACCAACCAAAAAACAATGAAACAAATTAAAGCACGCCAGCTCACTGGCCACGAGTCATCAGACTCAAGAGATGCGGTACGACTTCAATCGCGTACACCGACGTAGTGCTCGCAAGGTGCCGGTAGGTGCCGGACACGATTGTTGTCATTACATTGAGAGGGGTAATGCCAACTCGAGCTATGTGTAACTTTACCGGCTACACACATAACTTTTGAACATCCTCCCCCTTGGAAGACGACCACGTCTTACAATTAAAGCTGAGATAGTGGATCCATGGAAGGTACAGAGCACTACAGAGATTGCTGGCATGGGTGGACAACTCATAACAGATAATAACAACAATATAAAGTATAAAAGAATCTGTATAACAAACACAATGAATACTAATCACAAATGTATAAAACGGTGACAATGGTATAAATATAAAAAATAAATAAATAAATACATGGCAATATACATAACCACCAATAAACTTTGTTCATATTAGATCAATAACATAAATACAACAAAAAAAATGTAAACAAACCCATATTTTAAGATAAAACAGTTTTTTTTTTTAATTTAATTAAATTTAATTAAAAGTTAATTATAATTGTCTATTTATTCATTAATAAAACACATAAAGTATCACTTAGTACATATTAATTTAACACACTTAATTCAATAAATAATAGACAGATACACGGATAATTCTAACAGACTTAAATTGATTAAATAAAAATACACAGAATAGATATTCAACTGTAGTCATACACTATTCTAATTAGACTTACTTAGCCCCTCCTCTGATGGAGCGCTAGACCACACCACCCCACTAGTACAGCATACAAATTACTAGATCAGTAATATTTTTAACTAACTAATCTTAAATATAATTTATTTTATTGTAACTTATATTCTTGGATATAATTTATATTTTTTAATTTACTGCAGTGACATAAAATTAATCAGCATTTGGGGCATTTGCTCACGATTTCCATAAATGATATTTTTTCTCTTACCGACCTAAGTGCAGGACGTTCCAGAACTAAACTTAGACCTTAGGGGGATTCCAAAGTCTATCACTGCTGGATTTGCTTTGTACCGAAGGAGAGTATACATAGTTGGTATGACTCTCCCACTACATGATAGAAGATTGTGGTGGTTAATTGAATTTTCAAATTTAATTGAATTTGTATATTTATTAATTATTAAATAATAAAATATATTCATTCTATAATAAAAAAAACCCAGCACAGGGGGTCGCGGCACAGTGGTGCCGTGCTATAGTTGGATCAAGTATAATGATATCTGAGAGTGATTAAAATCACTATCAAAAATAAACGCTTCGATGCAAACCTTTAGATAGTGTTTAATTTTAAAAACTTGGTGGATTATTCCAAAAGCTACATAATCTGCTAGTTCCTTAGTAATATCCTGATTAAGATAAAGTATGCCGAATGAAAAAGGGTTTATTAAAAAATATTATTTCTCATAAAAAAATTGTGTGGATCAATACACTTTTCAATAAGTTATAGCGTTATAAAGTTAAATATAATATTAAAAATAAAATCGAGAATTTTCAAAAGTAGGTCTAGTGAGGGTTGGCAAAATAAATCGTAGCCACAAAAAGAACCACATAGTAAAATAATATTAACATAAATAAGTCATTTTTTCTCACAAGGGGAGACAAAAGTGATGGGATCTGTAATATTTAATGAAGTTATTGAAACTAAATGAGATAAATATTAAATGATTTGAAAATTTTATTCTAACTCAAAAAAAAATGCAAAATGTTTATTTCTACAGTCGGATTTGAACCTCATAACCTATGCGTGAAAAACAACAAGTGTTACCGATTCGGCAACTGTTCGTTATCTTCGTCGCTTGATAAAATTGGGTATTTAAGCTAACTCAAATTTAAAAATTACTTTTTGGACTTAAAAAAAGTAAAAAAATTTAATAAGTTTAATTTCTTATATCTTATGAATTTTATTCTATGTTAATTAAATTATTTAATATTCATGAAAGTCTATGTATTCCCCTAATAAGATATTTTAAAATAAAATAAAATACAAAACCCAAATTTTAATACAAAAATAGCATATTTTTGAATACAATAGCCATTTGTACATAGAAGATAGGTCGTCGGGATAAATTTTTTTTTTTAATTTTATAGGACATGACATAAGCTTTAATTTGACATATGTTAAAAGGATGCAGTATTTCCGGAACATTTTCAAAAATTAAGTTGAAAAAGTTAGTTTTTGTAAAAAAGTTGCAATTTTAAATTCCCCCCATGAGCAGGTTAAGTGTTAAATTTTCAAAAAAATTATATCAAATAAAAGGAAAATATCTAAGGTTTTAGTTAAAAAAAAAATTATGTTGATTTTNTGATATCAAATGAAAGGGAAATATCTAAGGTTTTAGTTAAAAAAAAAATTATGTTGATTTTTGAAAAAGTTATGGAAGTTTTAAGAAACAAAAAGTGAAAAAAATGACAAAATTTACCGATTTTTAAATTTGTAATTTTTTTGGATATTTCCCCCATTTGCGGGGAACGAGGGAAAATTTTTAAATTTTTAAGGGTAATGTCTTCAACTAGATACAATTTGTGATCTTTTGACGTATTGTTAAAAGAAATCGGTCCAGTGAGAGCTGAGAAAAAGTAGTGACAGACACAAAAAAAAAAAAAAATAAACACATCATGGTAAAATTAATACCTTCTCAGCTTCGCATCGAAGCTAAAATATACATAGCAGGCGGAAAGGCACAGTTATCAATGTACTTCCATAGTACTTTACATTTTAAATTTAATCAAATCTTTAATAAGTAGATTAAATTCTAAAACTTTTATTATTTTCTCTTTTTTTGTAATCTTGTACATTTATTCTATGTAAAAAATCACTCATGTGAACTAGTACTCTAAAATAAAAATATATTATCTATAACAAGTGAAAACATCACAAGCATATTCTAGGAAAAAGATACTTATTGTTAAAAATTATAAATGCTGACAAATTTTAACAAATATTTTATTTTATTAAAATTTATAAGTTTTATTGCAATAAATAAATAACAGTTTAATATTTTTGGTAGTACTAAAAAATCCATCAAAGTGATGTACATAAATTTGACTTCTAAAAGCGGTTTGATGATATATTAAGTTACATAATATCAAAAAGGAAATATATAAAACAAAATTCAATTGACTTGAATGTAGGAAAACAATTTTATTCAATACTTTGAATACTCTGCAATATGTTTTTCCAAGTTTGTAAGCCCTGAAACAATAATCTCATATTTATAAGATATTTTTATTTTGTTAGATGTTTATAAATTTATAGGAAAAAAAAAAGCACATAGTAAAACCAATACCTTTTCAGCTTCGCATTAAAGCTAAAAATTGTATCATAAATAATTTTTAATTCATAGAATAATTTCTTAAGCAAAATAATTTTTATAACAAATTGAATTAGAAAAAAAATTAATTATAACAGCATAGATACTGGACTTCCAATGGAGGTTAAAAATTAAACAAAACATACACTCCTAGCTACCAATCTATTAATATGTATTTCAGATTTTGTCAATGTAAATAGACTCTGTAGCAACTGTTATTAACAAAATTCTAAAAATCAGAATTATTATTTGTGTGCTTATTGTACGCTTATTCTAAATAGTCCATAATATTAATAGTTCATTTATTAATGTTCTAGTAAGAGAGGTGTTATGTTACAAGTATATTAATTAATACTAAACCCGTAATTACGAGTATTATGGTATTAATAAAATTTTACAAAAAAAAAACGAATATGTACTATACAAGTAAAATTAAAACTATATTAAAAATATTATTAATTTAAAAAAACTAAAAAATATTAAAAATATTAAACTCAAAAGCCACAAAAAAATTAATGAAAAGTCGCGGATACGTATTTCGGAAACAATGTTACCATTATCAACGCTAAACACATACTAGTTATATAGAGTATGTGTTTAGCGTTGATAATGGTAACATTGTTTCCGAAATACGTATCCGCGACTTTTCATTAATTTTTTTGTGGCTTTTGAGTTTAATATTTTTAATATTTTTTAGTTTTTTTAAATTAATAATATTTTTAATATAGTTTTAATTTTACTTAATTAACTAGCCACAAGTGATCAATTTTTATTATATGTACTATACATATTCTCTTTGATAAAGTTTTTTTTTTATTGTTCATAATCTTTCTAAATATTCTATTTCCAGTAAAAAAATTAAGTTGTTGCATGAATTTAGGGGGCGAGAGGGACGGGATTTAGCATTTTAAGCTGAAGGATATTGCTTCTAAGCCAAACTGTTATCAATAAATTTTGAAAAGAAATTTGCGAATTATGTTGTTTTAGGCATAGATATTTCCCTTTATATACAAAATATGTGCTTAATAGGAAAAAATTATTAATTTGCAACAATAAAATTCTTTAGCAATATTAAAATATACTTTTTCTTATAGCAACTTAATATCTTTCTACTGATTCACATTAAATAATTCAATAAATATAATAACATACCTTTTGAGCATATTTGGTTTGAAATGTCACATAGTCTTTAAGGATTTTCATAAGGTCTTTATCTTTTTGATTTTCAAACATTTTATAGTTTTCCAATGATTTATCAACAAAATCTCTAAATATTATAGAATATTAAGCTATTATACTTATATTAATATAACACTCAGCCTAGAAATTATCATTCAAATATTTTTTAAATAAATATATAACTAACACATAGTCACTTTTTGCTTCAATGCGTCTATTTTCTAATGCTTCAATTGCAGCAGCATCACGCCCAGCAGCTGAAGAAGTATAACCAAAAAGTCTTGACATAATACCACTTGTTTCTAAATATAAATGAAAAATATGCATAGAAAATACTCATTTATTATGAAAATTCTTCTTTACAAAACGACAAAAAATTTGCATCAATAAGTAATGCATGACAATTAAAGAAAATAATTAATTTTATAAAATTATTTGTTTTAAAAACTTTTAATTATTTATTTATTAAAGTATTTTACAAATATTTTTTAAAAAGTGTGTTAGGAAGTAAAGAAACATGTTAGATGTTACAAATAATGAGAGCAATAGAACCTATTTCCTTACTTAATGAAATCCCTATGTATAATATAATTAAATGATACTTTTTTTTTGTGCTTGAAACTATATACTTTAAATTATTTAATATTTAACATTATAATTTTTAGATAAAAATAAATTACACTTTACAAATTACCTTTATTGTTTGACATATTATTCAAATTATCCAAATTATAATGCATTAAATCATGATTTCTTGTTAATGTGTGTAAAGAGTTGGTAAAAGCAAGATACCTAAAGAACAAATATAATAAGTTTAAATTAGTAAAAGATAATATTATATTAAAAAGTTGTTTATTAGATGTGTTATTAATACTCGAACATTGTTATTTTTAATTAACTATACATATACAAAATGATTCTTTTAACATTAGCCATCCAACTTTTCAAAAAATAATATTTTTTATTTGGCTTTTGTTAGTTAAATATGTATTTCCCATTATGTGTAATAAAATATTTGTTATTTATTTATTTATTAAATTTTAAACGGGCCAGGCCCAATAACAACGTTCTATAATACAATCCTTTGTAGAAAATGATAAATTTACAAAAATTAAATGAAAATAATATACAATATAATAATACTTATAGATATGCGTTACAAAGAATAGAACTACAATAAATTTAAAATAAGTTAAAGTTTGGTGATATAAACAGATCAATTTTTAATTCATTTATAGTTTTCATTATTCTGTAAGAGGGGTGTTGCTTGCATAATTAGTTACTTCTGTGTTTAAATAAAATGTATTTTTAGACCCGGTATTACAAGTAGGGGTGTGGAAAGAGAAACAACTTAAAAAAATAGGACAGTCAAAATTGCCTGCGAATAGCTTAAACGCAAAGTATACATCTAAACGTAAACGACGCTTTTCAAGAGTTTCGAGGGATAGAAACGTTAGAAGTCGGAGGTAAGAGGAATGAGGTTCCCTAGGCATGGAACATTTAAGTGAGAGGATTTAATGTTACACCATTTATATTATAATCAAAAGACGAAACTACTCTAGCTCTCGAGAAAGTCATTATCTGACATTTATTAATATTGAGAGTAAATTTATTATTTCTGCACCATTCATAGAGTGTATTTAAATCAGATTGTAGTAAATCTACTTCAACTTGATTGATAACTGTTCGGAATAATTTGAGATCATCAGCAAACATTAATTTAGCGCAGTTGTTAAGATGAATGTCATTAATGAATATAAGAAATAACATTGCTGCTAAATGGGAACCTTGAGGAACTCTTGATGTGACACGTATTGGAATGGACCAAATGTTTTTATAAGCTACAATTTGATGACGATCCTCAATAAAAGATATAATCCAAGATAAAAAAGAACCACATATACCAATCTGGTTTAATTTTGTAAATAATATTTGATAATTAATTTTATCAAAAGCCTTGGTGAAATCAGTATATATAATATCCACGTTTGAACCCTGAGATAGGACATTAGATACAAAATGTTGAAAGTTAATTAGATTAGTAATCGTATTTTTATTTTGTCGAAAACCATTGATCATCGATGATTACATTATTTAAATCTGATATAACTTTATTTGTAACTATCGATTTAAATATTTTAGGTATCAAAGAAAGCTAGGTAATTGGCCGGTAATTTGAAATATTGGATAGATCAGAAGCAGACTTAGGAATTGGCCAAATAAAATTAGTTTTCCAAGTATTAGGGAAAATACTAGTAGAAAGTGACAAATTAAATAGGTATAATAAAGGCGAGGAAATAACAAATTTACAGTTTTTTAGGAATATGTTAGGTATTAAGTCAGGACCTGGACTGAATTTAGAACTTAAGGAACTTCAAATACCTCAATTAAGTCAATGGTAATAGAGAGGAGCGGAGAAAGAAGAATTTTGGGCGAAGTTTGTGGTTCAAAATTTATATTGCCATAATAATAATCATAATTTTCATAAACACTAGAGAAGTAACTGGCAAAACCATTAACAATATCATTAGGAGTATTAAATTGAGCAGTATTTAAATGCATATAATTTGATAAAAAATCGTTTTAGCGTTTATTATTAATGAATTTCCAAAATTGATCCGGTTTTGTCTTTAAATTTTTTTGAATATTATTTATGCAAGTTTGATAATCTTTTTTTGAGAGAAATTTTCATTTTGCACAGAGATTTGAAAAAATATTACAATCACTCACCAAACCAGAGCTTTTATATAATTTATGAGCAATTTTCTTTTTAAAAATCTATTCTTTTAGATTTATACTATACCACAAAGGATAATTAGACTGACGTTTAATTATTTTAGGCACAAATATATCGATGATTTCATAAATGACACTGTAAAATAGATCGACACCTTCATTTATACTAAAACCTTTAAATAGTTTATTCCAATCTATCGATGCTAAACTAAAATTTATAACTGCGTAATTACAATCAAAAAAATTATACATACATAAATTGTATTCAATCGGTTCAACTATACTTATAGGGAAATTAATAAGTAGGCCCGGATGATAACTATCACATGGGACGAGAGGATCCATAGATTTATTTACAAATAAATTATTTATGTCAGTGAGAACTAAATCCAGTATTGAACCCGTACAATTTACAACATTATTAAATTGAAAGAAATTTAAAAAAGATAGTTTTTATAAGAATTCCGATTCAATATTATTTAAATTTAATAAGTTTGGAAATAAACCAAAAAAGCTGGGACGCCACTGATCTCAGGGTTCAAACGTGGATATTATATATACTGATTTCACCAAGACTTTTGATAAAATTAAATTTTATATAACTTATGTTCATCCTTTATAACTATAAGGGTTTATTATTTCAAATATACATAATTAATTAGCTTATAAAGTAGAACATGATCTAATTAAGAAAATAACGGGTCTATAACAACTTTAGGATTAGTACTTCAGAAGTCATTAATATCTTTATACTCAGACAGGAGATAAAGTGAGGCAGAGATATCTAGTCTTGAAAATAAACACACGTGACTTACCTAGAGTTAACATTTCAAATGGTTAATATCATCTGAAGTACGGGTCCAAATGTTGTTAAAAACTTGTCGTTTTCTTATATAAATCATTTTCTATTTTATAAGCTAGCTAATTGTTTTCATTAAAGAAAAAAAGGGGAAAAATATATGAATAAAATAAAAAAGTAATGAATAATTGATAAATTAAGAAATATATTTAAAACTATAAAATATCAAAAATAATTTTTATAATAATATATATATTATGTTTATTAAATCTACAATGTTATAATAAATTTAGCATACTTACTCTTTCAATTGATCCATTATAAATTCTTCATCTTCTAATGCTGGAGTTATAGCTGATGCAATAGAATCCATGTAATGACCAGTTTTCTTGTTTAAATATAAAAACTCATTTAAATAAAACATTTAAAAGAGATAAGGAAAAAACAGTAATAGATTTTTTTTTCAATTTTAATTTAAAGTCCATAAGCAAAAGTATCAAGTATAGAAATTCAGTGAAAAATGTTTTAATTTTTATAATATTTAAGTGTCTATTTTTGTTTTATTATTTAAAAGATGGAAATTTATAACTTTATTTTTGTTTTCCTGATAAATTTACAGAAATGAATTATTATTGCTTTAACTCTGTACCTTTCAATTATTATATAGCATAGAAAATAATCATATAAAATCTTATAACTATTTGTAATGAATTTAGGATGTTTATATAAAATAAGTGAAGACTTTAAAATTTATTTAAAACACATCCTTAAAATTTTAAGTAGCATTACCTGAACAGCATCACCAACATCATTATCAACAGCACTTAGTTCACTAAAAATTTTTCCATAGTGGGAGTGTAACATATCTACATTGTATAGATTTTCAGCACGCTTAGCACGACATGATAATACTTTATTAATAGAACCCTGTAATAAGAGTAAACATAAATTTGAATTTCAAGGACATCAAAAATTTAGCATAACATATATTTTCTTATATATTATAATTTTACAAACCTGTAATTTATTGCTGTAAGATTTAATAGCTTCAAAACGGCCATCAGATGTTTTATTGCGTATTGATAAATTAAAATTTTTAATTGAATGTTCAGTGTCCTTTATAATACCTGAAGTAAAAATAAATTTTATCATACATTTGTTCAATGGCTACTTTTTATTGTTTAAATAAATAGTAATAATATTATGTGTTACCAACTACTGCACACTTTTATGTTAGTAAATTGTACAGTGATTAGAATAATTTTTTGTATAAAAAAAGATAAATAAAAAAACGATAGTAATATAAATAATTAACAATAGTTAAGAGATTTATTATTTAATTGTATATTAATTTTTTAATAATTGTTGGTTACAAGTTGATATTTATTTTTTTTTTGACAATTTTTAAGAATTTCTATATCTAATAAGATATAGAAACTATGATAATGTATAAAATTATGTATTAATTTTATATTTGTTAAGAAAACAAAATTTCTTTATAACTTTTTAATTGTATTATATTAATTACAGATTCAAAAATCAAGATTTGTAACATCATTATTGAAAAGAAATATCTGTTGTATTACAAATGCAGTAAAGATATATTTAGTAAATATGAAGATTATAGATAGAATTTGTCTATGATTGTGGTAAACACACACACACACACACACACATATATATATATATATATATATAGAGTGATTTTGTTATCACAACCCACTAAATTACTTACAGAATGAAAATAATTTTTTTTCTAGTTACCTTTAATTAAATAATATTTTTGAATTATTAGCTATGTAATACTTTTTATGTTCATCTCTTATGTCTTGTAAGGGTGTAAACTTTGTTTTTACAAGTGGAAAGACACATTTTGAATTTAATAAAATGTTTGAGGTTTTATTTTAAAAGTAAATGGCATTTGAATTTTTAATATAACTTTATTCATATATTAGATATACAACTTTACAATTGAATAAATTAACATTATATTTTTTAGTTACCTTTAGTTGTATATTTTTCTTAAATAATTAGCTATATAATACTTTTTTAGTTCATCTCTAATGCCTTATAAAGGTGTATTGTTAGTTGATGTATTTATAAACTCAGAACAATGTTCCTTACTACCATACTTAAAGCATATCTGTTGATAAAGTCATAATTGACAATAAATGCTGCATATCTACGAATAGTGACATAGTCATAAAAAACCAATTAGTTACCTGTATTTGTAATCCCTCATGTATTATACATGTATATTAACTCCAAAATTTGAAAATTTAATGTTTTATATCTAATAAATAAATAAAGTTATGTTAAAAATTCAAATACCATTGACAATTAAACTAAAACCTAAAACATTTGATTAAATTCTTAAATGAACTCTAGAATAATATTTAATTAAAGGTAATTAAAAATAAAAGTTTTAATTATTTTTATTCTATAAGTAAATAAGTGGGTTATAATAAAAAAATCACTCTGTGTACATATTAAGTATTTAAAAGTTGTCATCAATTTTAAATTGATAATTTATTCTTAATTTTATAAGCATCAATTATATAAACTGAAACTTCAAAATAAACAATTTTATATACTTTAATAGTTGAAGTATCAATAGCTTACTATTTTTAAGATACAACAGATAACTCCTTTTCTATTTGACTCTTTAGTACCAATAATATTAACATAAAATCTAACCATAACTCGTAGCATTATCATCCACCCAGTTTTCTTTTTCCCCTAAAAATCTTATAAAAGTTTCATCAAATCCTAATTCAATATGACTAGCTATTCTTTTCAAGAAACTTTCTAAGGCAGCTCTTCTACGGTCAATAAAATCTGGATCCATTGTATCAGAAACAGCATCACGGTTCCACATGAAAGACTGCTTTTTTTCTGGAAGTGGAGGAACAATTGTCCATGGATATTTTTGCTCTAAATGACTGTGTAAAATGGTAAAATCTGTATATCTTCTAGTAGCAAATGATAATTTTTGAATACCTTTACTTACTGCCCACTCGGCACTATCAACTCTACAATCAAAATAAAAATGCTTTAATTTACATAGATTAAATACAGACATTCACTAGTCATCTAAAAATATCATACTTTGTTTCTATAATGTAAACCGTATAATATTCTTTTAAACTTAAAGCTGAATTCATCCGTTTTTCTGCTTCTGTAATAACTATAATTGCATGATTTGCTAATGTGTCATCCTATGTAAAATAATTGTTATGTTTAAAGAAATGAGCAAATATATGTTTCAAAAAATTTTTGGTAAAAATATCAACAAAAATTATAATAATTTTTCATTAAAATTGAACATATTCTGTAACCAACCTTTTTACTTATATTTGCCATTGAATAAAACTGAACCAATATCTTGAAACTTCAAATTATAATTTTTTTTTTTTAATTAATTAAACTTTTTAATATTTAATACTCAATTACTTCATACTTTTTATAATTAACATATAAATTACTTTAATAGCTTCCTAACATACTATTTGAAAAACTAAAAAAAAATAATTTGATAAAAAATTAATACACCCAATTTCTTATCACTATTTTATCATGAGTTTAGAAACACCAGTTAACAATGACTGATTGGACGGCACTGTCGTAAGAAGTAAATACTACTTTAAAAATACTTTTTAAGTGACATAAAAGCAACTTTGTGTTTACACTCTTCAGTCTAAAATGGATTCAAAATCATTATAGTCGTTTCATAAGATAATAGAACGAAATTGATCGTTGAGCATAATAATAATCAGATATATTTCCAAAAACATACTAACTTTGAAATCATAAGAAATATATATCTGGTATTAAAACAACTTAGTGATTTTCAATTTGATTGCTTATCGACAGATGAAAAATCTTATTCTTACGTCGTCAATTTACAAAGGGAAATTTTACAAAATACTAAATTAAGTTTTGGACAAATAACTTCAGAGGTATCCTATTCATCACACACGATTCTATATGAAGATCAACGTAGTTTATTAAATAAAAATTCGTTTAAATATTGCAAAACTATAGTTAAAGAAAAATATGAACGATTTAAATTCTATAAAATAAGAACTATGCAACTATGAAATTAACAGCAAAACTGATAACATCCATCAAAATATGAAGGATAATGAAAATAAATATCTAAAAAATTAGAAACTTTAAAAATGCTCAGATAACGAAATTTGATTAGAAGACAATTACTATTGATCTATGGTCGTAGAATTTTAGAAATGGAAACAGAAGCTTTAAAACTAGGTATTTTGTTTTAAGAAAGAGTTTTAAATCATTTTTACAATTAAATTTTGATTACATACACATAAAACAAATGAAAATTCAACAATTAAAGTAACTCATTATTTATAATTCAAATCAACCACGAAGTACATTTTTAATGTTTTAACACATTAATGGAAGATTAAAATAACTCAATATTTTATTATCGTTTAATCCATATTACTTTTCTAAAAATATTGCCTGAGGATTTTAAGAACATTTTTACTATAATTTAAACTTTTAGTCATAAATGTTGACTATTTTCAAATACGAATCGAAATGTTTAATTATAAACTATTACAAATATTAAAATATAAATAAATTTATATGATATAAACTTAATTTATTTTTTAACAATAAAATATATTTTTAATTTAGTATAATTAAACCAAAACCATGTAATAAATTAAAATGGATATTTTTACTATCATTATTCAGGTAATTTTTTTTATCATAACCCACTTAATTACTTACAGAGTAATAATAATTTTAACACTTTTTTTTTTGTTTTCTTTAGTTACACATTATTCTTGAATTATTAACTATTTAAAACTTTTTATGTTCATCCCTTATGCCTTGTATGGGTGTCAACTTTGTTTTTTTTAATTGGGAACACATATTTTTAATTTAATAAAATGTTTGGATTTTTAATTCATTAGTAAAAGACATTTGAATTTTTAGTATAACTTTTTTTAGTTTATTAGACATAAACATTTAAAGTTTCAATTTTTTGAGTTAATATACATGTATAATACACAAGGGATTATAAATACAGATAGCTAATTAGATTTTTATGACATTGCTGTCACAGTCACGGATTGTTTATTATAAATTATGACTATCAATAGATATACTTTCTGTATTGTCAGTAAATGTATTTATAAACTCACAACAATGTGCCTTACTACCATTGATACTAACAATGCTGTGTACCTGCTAATATCGATGTCATAAAAAACCAATTAGCTACCTGTATTTGTAAACCCTTGTGTATTATATGGTAGTAAGGCCACCTTTACAAGGCATAAGGGATGAACATAAAAAGTTTTAAATAGTTAATATTTCAAGAATAATGTGTAACTAAAGAAAACAAAAAAAAAAAAATGTTTAAATTATTATTACTCTGTAAGTAATTGAGTGGGTTATGATAAAAAAATCACCCTGCATATCGATACAATGTATGTAATATTATAACAATAACACAGTCAATAAGTAAACAGATTAAGTTTTAAATGTTTTTAAGTAGTGATAGGCATTTTCGAATATTTTAAACTATCGAATAACAATTCCAATTGTTTTTATTTTAGTTTTATTTTGTAGTTTATTTTTAGCATAAACTATCGAATAGTTTTAAAAACTATTTGATTAGTTTTACCTAAAATTTTTATTCAATACACTTAATTATTACAAGAAGATAATTAACGTATGCTTAAAATAAATTATTATACAATTAATAATAGTAAAAATTAGTGATGGACATTTTCAAATATTTTAAACTATCGATTAACTATTCGAAATCTGTTTATACAACCGAATAGTTTATTTTTAGCATAGACTATCGAATAGTTTTTAAAACTGTTCGAATATATTGTGTAACTATCGAATATTTTTACTATTCGAATAGTTATTGAAAGACTATCGAATACTTCGATAGTTACTATTTGATATTTCCCATCACTAGTTTTTAGTCTAAAAGGTTTAACTAGAAATTTAATTCAATCATCTAAATTAATTAAACTAATTTTTATTTAACCAAACTTGTAATGTGTTACTTTTATTATGATTGAATAGGAGATAAAAATATATAATTGATGTTTAACAAAAATTCTAACAACTAACTATAATTTGATTATTCCACTACAACAAAATTAATTATAACTCATAAATTATGAATTTCAAAATAAAAAAAGAGGGTCATTTTAATATATTTACCTATAAATTATTTTGAAACTCTAAATTTTAGAAAAATTTATTTGATTACAAACTCAAACTATCTATTATATTTTTATTTATTACTTCGAACGGAATCTTGATCGGCGTGACCTTTGTAGTTCACTACTGTGATTATAAATCACTGTAGTGATTATTGGTATATAGTAATGATTAATGATAATCACTGATTACCATTAATCATTCTTAAAATTTATGGTTCAACCTTTGTTATCTTGGTGGCTTATTTATAACAGATAAATTGTAATTCGAACCAGAGTTTAATAATGAAAAAGTTTAGGATGAAATGTCTATTCTTTATTCCCATTATTAGTATTTAAAGGGTTCAAAATTAGTCAGTTTTACGACCAAGTTTCTTTTTTTATTTGTGCAAGTACAATTTATCTCAAATATCTAGTTTTATAAAAATTTACGTTAAAACATTCAAAATACGAAATGAACCAACAATCAGTTTCATATGAGGTATACATAATACTATAATGTATTATTATAAATTATTATTATTAAATATATATTATGAAAAAAAATTTTGTCTCATTTTATATCTTATAAATTATTAAATTAAATTAACTTTATGTGGCCTAATTAGGGGATAACATAGTTTAACTGTCATTTTCCATTTTGCTTAATATCTTAAGCCAATAAAAAAATAATAATGACAATTATGAATTAAAGAACTTTACTTTTGTATTAAAAAATGAAACAGATAAAATGATAAAAAATTTGACTTAATTTTTATTTTTCATAGAATTATTGTCAAAAAGTTAAGGTTAATGATATAGAAATCAACTATCTAAAAGTAGGCATTGGACCGATGACTTTACTTGTTTTACCAGGAATACTCGGTAAATATTCTAAGTAATGTTATAACAGTAAAAGAAATAAATTAATGTTAACATACCTAACTAAAGAAAAAAAATTTTCTCCAAGGTTCTGTGTCTAAGGGTACTTTGAAAACAATAATATGGAATCTGGATCATAAAAAATATACTATTATAGTATGGGATGCACCAGGTTTTGGCTTAAGTCGACCTCCAGACAGAAATTACGCTCCAGGATTCTTTTACAGAGATGCTGATTATGCCATTTCCTTAATGAAAGTATGAATAAATACTTAAATAGTTATACATTAGTTTAACCCCGTAATATAATAAAAAACATACAATCAGTAAAAAATAAATACTGTAGGTTATCAATAGTTATCTATATATTCCTTTTTTAAAAATATATTTTCTGAGCTATATTCTAGATAAAAGTTGCTATCAGACTATAGTTATCAAATCTCAATAGTTAGTTATTTATTTGAATGTTTAACCACTAACGGTTACTTTAAAGTTCATATTATTTATGAATTTATGAAAATAAACAAGTTGAATTGATTATTATATATTAACTATGAATAATAGTATCTAAACATTTTAAAACGGTTAAAAAAAAACTTATTAATTAGTAATTCAGCATTAGTTAAAAAATTTAATCATACTAAATAACTTCAAAATTATTATATTCTTCCTTTTCTTTTTCCTTGCTTGAATTCCATCTACTTGGGGTTGGTCATTCTTATTTTGACTTCCACTTGACACGTTCTACCACATCAACAACGCTCTTATCAATCGTCTTCATATTGAATTCAATAACATCCCTCTATCTTTTCTTTTTTGGTCATCCTCTACCTCTTCTTCCTTGAACATTCATTTCCATAACTTTTTTATCAGCTTCTGATTCCTCTCTCCTCATAACATGGCCAAACCATCTAAGTCTATTTTCTCTCATCTTATCTACGATCTACACTACACTTATACTCCCTTTTATATTATTTCTTTTTATCCCATCTTCCCTATTCTCATCCATCTAAGCATTCTCATCTCTGTTACACTCATTCTCTGCTCTATTCTCTTGCCAACCGCCCAACACTTTAAACCATACATCATAGTTTATTATAGTCTTATGAAAATTACTATATTATTATTTTAAACATCTTTTTATTATAATTTAATGATATTGAAAACAATTTGTGGAAAATTTGGGGCTTATCTATAATGTTTAACCAATTTATTGGTCTTTAGATTTGAGTTTGATAGGTATTTTTCAGAAAAAAACTGAACTTTACACTATAAATATTTTTAGGATAATCTTACCAACAAAAAATTATTATCAATAGATAGTTATAAAATAATTTTACAAAAAATTAAAAAATGTTAATTTTTGTTTCAATTCTGTCACAATTACAAAGGTAAGAGACCCTCTCCTTGAACTACCACCTACTAAAAAATCGATATTTTATCATTTAAAATTTTTTAAGTGTTAGAATTAGCAAAAATTGTTTTGGACGTCTAAGAATATTTGCACGCCCCTAAAGTAATTTCTCAATTCATCCCTAGGTAAAACACAATTATGAGAAAAAGTATATATAATGTTAAAAATTCGAAAAAATTGCAATCAATTTTTTAAAGTCAATTTTTTGTACAGTTGAATTCTTTTTTTCTTAATCACAAAAAACTGTACTAAAAAAAATACTCATAAAAATATAATTAAAATCTTTCCGAATTTTTTACTTAATGTTTATAATTTTTCATAACTGCTTCTTGGTCAGTTATTTACTATGTAAAAAACAAAAAAATTATGTTACAAAATTATCTATATATTTGTTGCAATTTTATAATTCTAAGGTAACAAATTGTTTGTTTATTACAGATATTAAATATTAATAAATATTCAGTACTTGGTTGGTGTTTTGGCGGCGTTACAGCAATGATTGTTGCATCTAAAGCAATTGATAATGTTGAAAAACTTATTCAATGGGGTGCCATATCATTTGTTACTGAAAATGATTTAAAATATTATCGAAGTATGCGTAGTAATGATGCTTGGCCCCCAATTGTTATACAAAAATTTTTCGATATTTACGGAGAAGAGTATTTTACAAAAACGTGGCAAGGTCTTGTAGATACTGTTGAAAATATCGCAGCTAATTTAAATGGAGACATTTGCCAAGAAGCTCTTTCTAAAATTATGGCACCAACTCTTGTTATACATGGTACTAAAGATGAAGCGGTTGACATGAAACATCCACTTTACATTCAGAATAATATTAAAAAATCTTCGTAAGTTCCTTTTATATTATGTTTTTACATATAATTTTGTTTTTACATTTTTATAATTGTTGCAAAACCAATTAGTTTCTCTACAATTATTAAAAATAATATTCAAATAACCTGCCTATAGGATTCTGAATAAATTTTAAGATATTTTATTTAAAAAATTAAAAAATATTTTTTTATATTCTAAATCATTATTATTGAAATTGTTTGCGATTTCTAACTTATAAGGAAGATTTATATTGAAATTCTTACCTTATCTTTTTTAAATGAAAATTGAATATTAGTTCAATTATTATGAAGATATAATATCCAGGTATGATTCTAGAGATAATTTTTAAGGGGTGTGGAATGAATTTTGGCATCCAAAACACCTTAAAGATTAAATATATTCTCAATAGCTTCAAAAATGCTGACTACTAACAACTTAATATACGTTTAGGGGTACGTGATATCCTGCCACACTATATGAAGGTATTACCCCTACTGATAACAATAACTCCTCCATATCTTAATATTATAGTAGTGTAATATATGTAATGCTTATTAAAAAACCTAAAAAGTAATTAGTAGCTAATAAATCAAGAATCATATGTAACTAAAAAAACTAAACACTTTATTTTCAATATTGTATTTATTTTAAAGTGATATTTATTTACCACTTATATATTATAATAAGTATAGGTGGATTATGATAAACCGACCAATCAATATATAAATAATTTATCATAAAGTCGATTGTTATTAATTACTTAAGAAACTAGGAAGTTGTAAATTAGGTATGGGACCTATGTAGCTTAGTGGAAAAGCTGTTATCCGGATAACGATAGACCTAAGTTTGATTCTCAGTTCGGTGGCATAATTATTCATCTAGTTTTCCCAGTCGATCATTCTGTATTATTACATTATAGTTTACGGATAAACTTGCAATTTGTTGTAGTTTGCGCCTAAAGTTATATCATATCCTTATTCCAGGATTCTGGATAAAACGGTTGGAGATCCCAGCAGTCCTGTCAATTATAGGGTTCTGGAAATTCTTTACTTGATAGGAAATAACAGACAGACGCTTTCGTCGACCGTGATCAGTCCATACTTGCTTGGCTAACACTGGTAAATAGAGAATTTAAAAGCCCATGTTTGCTTGTCAGATTAATGGTGTCGGACTTTGTAGGGCTTGGATTTAAGCTTGGCGAACAAAGTGGGCTTGAGCTTTTCCGATGAGCGTATGACTCTAAATGGTCAGAGGATCGCACTCTAGCCCCGACTTGATACTTCTTTCTTGGTCACTTCGTTACAATTAAGTCCCAGGTATGTCCCAGGTAGATGATATGTCGTATACCTTGACCTACGTCTAGAATGGAATAGTAGTGGTGTCTGTGAACCCTTCTAGAGAAGTTCTCCACTATATTGAGTAAGAAAGAACTACAGCGCCACTTAGTTTACAATCACTCCAAGCGGTCTTCTTTCTTATTGTGATAAGTAAATAGCCAACAGTGCAGTCACCAGATATTGGTGGTCACTAGGCTTTTTGGCGGCAAAGGGGCCAAATTAAGCACCTTCGGATCCTCCAGACGACAAAGAGTAAATATGACTCTTTTAAAGTATGATGACTTATACTTGAGTAAAGCACTTAATTTTAATAAATATTTTATCAATACTCTATAGAGATATCTGCATTGATGATATATAAATACACTAGAGTCGATTTTACATTATACAGTTTTATCTTAAAAAAACAGCACAATTGTGTCGTGACACGGTGGGGATATGGTATAGTTGGTTCAAATATAGATGATATCTGGTAGTGATTAAAATCTTAAAATACTTATCATAGTAATTAATTTTAGAATGAAATTGATATTTAATTATCTAGTATTATAATAATCTGACAATACGGTCAGTATGTGATTAGCGTTGATAATGGTAACATTGTTTCCGAAATACGTATCCGCAACTATTCATTAATTTTTTGTAGCTTTGAGTTTAATATTTTTTAGTTTTTTAAATTAATAATATTTTTAATATAGTTTTAATTTTACTTAATTAATTAGCCACAAGTGATCAATTTTTATTATATAGTATTATAATATTTATGGAGAAGTTATAAGTTATTGTATGCAGAGTGATTTCTTTAATATCACCCACTCGATTTCTCTTAAAATAATAATTATAATAAGAAAATTCTTTATAGTATTTTTTAATTTTAAAAATTTGACAATTTATTAATTGTTAAGGTATTTTTAAATTCATCCCTCATCTAATGAAGAAAATGACTGGTCAACAATGTTATTTTAAATAAAAACTTTTTTTTAGTATTTGAGAAGTTATTAATATTTTCAAATATATAGAGAAAAAGACCACAATGTGTAATGATAAAAATAACATTATCCATTTTCAAAACTAAATTTGAAAAAGTTAAATTGTTGTGAAAAAAATTGCTATTTTGAATGTTTTCAATGAGAGGGTGAAGGGTCAGATTTTCAAACAATTTATGCTATATGAAAAGAAAATACCTAAATAAAAAAAAAATAATAATAAAAATCATCTTGATTCGTTCAGTTTTCAAAAAGTTAAAACAGTTAAAAAAAATTTTTTTTTTTAAATATTCAAATTTATTAATTTAAAAAATCGTAATATTTTTGGAAATCTCCACTATTTACGGAGAATGAAGGAATTTTTTTCAATTTTTGACGCTAATGTCTTAAAATAGATACTTGGTTGTTAAAAAAAATCTATTGTTAAATTTAGGTGAAACCAAATATCATTTTTTAGAAATGATTTATATAATAATAAATTAAAAAATAAAAATAATTTAAATATTATAAATTGATAATAGACCATAGTAAAATAAATAAATTAATAACAAAGTAAAATAATTTACTTTTGTTGTTGAAACATATTATCATATCAAATCTAGTTGAACAATAAATACTTTGAAAACATTAGAAACAAATTATTTTAATTGTCTATATAGAGAATGTAGGCCAAGTAACTTTTTAATTGATGAAGTGAACATTTTTTTCAATTTTTGAAAGTGATATCTTCAACTAGATATAATTTGTAATCTTTTGAGGTATTGCCGAGAAAAATTGGTTCAGAGAGAGCTGAAAAAAAGTAATATCAAACAGAAAAAAAATAAACACATAATAAAATTATTACCTTCTCAGTTTCCCAACTAAACTAATATTTGAAAAATATATAAATTTGACTACTAACTTATATTTTATGTCCACTTTCTATTTAAAGTGTAAAGATTTGTATTGATACAAAAAATATATTTGAATTTTTTACATCTCTAACGTATAAATAATTTCAGACATGCTTAAAATAATAAATATATTTTATTTTGTTAAATTTTTTCTTTATTTGTTTGTTTCAGATTAGAATTAATTCAAGATGGAACACATCATATGCATATTTCTCATTACAATCAATTAAACTCTTTAATTGATAATTTTTTATCTGGAAATTATTTACCTCACTTTAATTAAAATGATTCTAATATGTGAAATTTAATTTTTATATTTTTAAAAATTCTAATAATTTCCAAGTAAAAAATTTTATGCTTGACTTGTATCAATTAAAATATTTATTTTTAAATAATATAATGAAAAAGGCTATTTATTAAAAAAAATTAATATTGTATAATACGTTTAGTATTTCTCGTACATATCACACTATATAAGTCTATATTTAACAAAAGTTTGGTTAATAAATAAGAAAACAAGTAAATTTTTATGAACAATGAAATTAAAAAAAAATTTTCCATATTTTTTGGTATAATTGTAAACTCTCCCAGTTGAATTTTACTTTATATATTAGAAAAAATATATTTTCTGATGTTATAATTTTAATAAAATATTTTCTTAATTTAGATTATAGTTAAATTTTTAATTTGATAAGGTTAAATTTGAAATTTAATTTTATTATTTATAAGATTAATGTTATTCTCATATTATTTTTAACCAAAATAAATTTATTTTTAAATAGTTATTTTCATTATTGTAATTAACCAAATATCTATCATAAAAAGTGTTTTTATAAAATAATTTGTTTATATTAAGAAACAAATTATTATTTTTTTTTTTGTAGTTAATACATTTTTCTATATGATCTTAATATTTTAATAAATAATTGTGAGTTTATTCTATTTTTTTTTTATTCTTGGTAGTACACTAAAGAAATAATGCACAAACATATTAAACATAACATCCATTAAATTTTAAACGCAATCATTTGATGTTAATTTCCAATGGAGGCAGTATAATACATTAAAGAATTTTTATGATACACAATTATTAATTTTTTTATTTAAATATGATAGATGTATATTGAAACATTGAATGTGATTAGTAGGACGTCAGCTATTTTACAAAATTTTTATCCTTTCAAGGACTTACATTTTTTTACTAATATAAAAATATTAAATTGATAATATTAAACGTATTAATTTAAGCTCAAAGTTTGAATTATATTGTTTTTTTAGAAAATTAATAATTTAAATTTTTACATTCCAATTTTAACATAAATACACATTTTGTATAATTTATAATTACTTAATATTCAGGATATAAAAATATTCCTCAGTAATAACTGTTATCATTAATTTCATTTTGCCTATTTATTTATAGAGTTTTGTAGGATAATATACAAAGACAAACTAGAATATATATACAAAGTGAATCTTAGGCTTAATGTTGAGCTGTTTTTTCATAAAAAAATTAATTTTTTGTTACTATCATCTATATCTTAAACTTGCAATAACTTTTGATTTTAAAATGGCCGACCCAATTTTTTTATACCATTAAACAAAAAAAAAAAAAAATGTTTAACACATTTAACAAGCTAAGGAAACAATATTTATAATAATTTAATTTATCATAATGTGATTTTTATGATTAAAAATCTTTATTCTATAAAGAAATCTTATAGTTTTATAATATGATAATCATTTGTTGTGTATTTGATCATTCAATACAATAGTTTTTTTATGTGTTTTAGATAAAAATTGTAAAACAAGTTTAAAATGAGAGCATAAAACAATTTTATAATTTATTTTCTATGATTATTATGTATTATTGCTTACGCTACAATAACTTCAAAAAATTTTGAATTAATCTTTTGCAGTTAACATTTTTTATAATTTGTTTAGCAATCAAATGAATATAACAATTGGCTATAAAAATCTGATTACTTCTTTTATCACCACGTAAACCACTAGCAATCAATAAGTACACAAAATCTATTATTTTTATGATTTTCGTCACAACATTTTTGTTAACGTTCACGATAGCAAGTTAATTTATTTTGTTTTACTAAAACTGTACAAAGTGAAAATTACATTAGAAATGGACACTTACAGAAAATTAAAAAGTAATAATTTTTGATGTAAATTAACAATTTTACAATTCTTCTTTCTTCTTATTAATTGATCGTAACATTTTCCCGTGTAAAATATTATGTCATCATATAAAATCGCTATCTTGTCTTTTCTAGAATTAATATTGAAAGGCATCAGGAATGAGTATAATGAAAACGGATTTGGTAACTGTGTTCTTGTTGCAGATGAGAAATTTATATCAGTTGAAGCCTCAACTGAGAAACATCAGAATTCGAAGTCTAAAAGTTACGGTCAAAAATTTGTTTTACGTACTTTTGGAGCTTTAGTCGGTTATAAACGTAAAAATTTATCTAATAATGATAAACATGAGACTTTAATTGCATTGAGTTCCGGAGACCTGTCATATAAAAAAGACAAAGTTTTGGATTTAAAAGATTACAAAAAAGATTCAATCAAATCTGTGGGTGAAATTTAAAAAAAGTTGTACGGAATTTCATAGAAAAATTTTGATTGATTTTTAGATTATGAAGTTGAATCCATCCTGTTTTTTGAAAATTCCTACCTTGCTATTAAGTGGTGGCAATAACTTGGCTTTTAATTTAGCGTCTTTTAGCTCTTATAGCCCAAAAGAAGAATGCTATCAAGAGAAAGTACCATCAAAAGTGTTTGAAGAGTTAATTTCTCCAAGACTCGGTGAGAAATATTTTTATGTTTAAAACATACTATAATAATATATATATAAATATAAATTTATTTTTTACGGATAGTTAAAAAATATCTTTAAAGTATTTATTATTTAAGAAAAATTATGTAATCTTTTTTCTAAAACTTTTTTTTTTCAAAACTAGTATTAATAAATAAATCATATAAATTTTTCAAGCTTAAACTCGATTGAAAATATTTATGTTAAATTGAAAATAAATAAATAAAAATTTATTTCCATAGTGCTAAAACTTTTAAAAAACGGAAAAGATATTACTTTAAAACGTGAAATCAGTAATTCGTTATTAAAAGCTCAGCATAGATATTCATGTGATGTAATGGTTTCGGAAAAGAGATCTAGTCCTTACAATATATACAAAAAATTTCCTTTAAAGGATATATCTCCTACTGTGTTTAAAAGAACACCCTCTCCAAGACTAGGTATGTAAAAAATCTATTTGTTAGTTGTGACACTGAAAATTTCCATCTGTTATTTTCTTTAATTTTTACATTATTTCGATAAGATTGGATAGGACACATAATTATTTATGTCATTTCATTATGTTTATGTGGACGTCAGACTATTTAATTGAATTATGTTAAAAAACACACGTTTCGTTTTTTTATATTCAATTATTACATTAACATATTCAAAATTTTAGGTAAACTCATTGAAAAGTTTGACAAGTTTTTCAAGGATAATAGTATAAATTTTCCAACGTATTCCACACATAACAGCACTACGTTAAAAAAACAGTTTGCTCATGAAGTACAATGTGACAAAGAGACGACTTCTTTACATATGCAACCTAACCGAGGGGTTGATTTACAGCCCTTGATTAATATACGTAATAAACCTAATACAATATTGAAAACTGAACATGGTTACTCAGGCAATAAGATAGTTTTGGAAAATACTAAAACCAGTCCTTACGGTATATATCGAAAATTCCCTTTTAGGGATATTTCTTTCGCTGTGTTTAAAAGGACACCCTCTCCAAGACTTGGTATGTAAATAAACAAATGTTTCGCATTATGCTCTTCATATATTACATAAACATATTCAAAATTTTAGGTAAACTCATTGAAAAGTTTGATAAGTTTTTCAACGCTAAATGCCAAGATTTTTCTTTGAATACTACACAATATATCATTGACGTAGAAAAAAATTAGATTTTTGAAATGAGTTTGAAGAAATAAGATTAAAATAAACGTATAATCTACTAAAGCGGTTGTATCATTTGAAAGCAATATTAATAATAATGTCAATTTAAACTTTAAATTTGTCTTAAAAAAATTTCTTTTTTGGAATACGTCTATCACAAAGTTGAAAAGCGTACTTTTTATAAAACTCAGTAAGTAAAATTTTCAAAGTTCTCATTCATGAAATAGAGATAAAGCTGTTTATAATTTTAAATTTATTTTTTTTTAATTTAGGAAAACTACAAATGTTCGGTGTTTTTGTTAAGAAATAAAGTAATAAAGAATACGCCGTCAGTAACAATTTTTAAATGCTAATTAAGACTGCGTAGCATTCAAAATACACTGCTTTAGTTATTTAATTCGTTAAAAATGGCAAAACATCAACAAAATCGTTAATTTCATTGATATTGCACATATTATCACAAATCAAAATATTTGAATACTTGTTTATATTCTTTTTTTTTACATAATTATCTTATTCATTCATCTATATAGTCTTTTTGAAACTTTTTGTTCTTAAATTTTTATCCTACATTCATTGTTATATAATTTTTAATTTTTACATTTTATAATGAGTTAATAAATTATTTTTAGTTAATAATTATTGTTAGTAATTTTTAAATATTAAAAATAAAGAACCATATTAGGGGAAAAATGTATGAAATTATATTTTTACAAATAATGTTTATATTATTTTAAAGTCATTTAATAGTAAAACAAGAGGAGTTATGTGGATTATGAACGTTTAAAAATAAGAATAAATAGATATGTGCTTTACCTCAAATCTTTATATTTAAGAGTTAATAACTTCTAAAAGAACTATTCATTTTCTTTAAAAGATCATTTTTTATATATATGATGTTTAACTATATATTTATATATATTGTGTTCAGTAAGTAAGGAATCGGATTTCTATTTTTCTTAATGTTTGTAAACATTGACCTTTTTACTGAACACTGTGTATATTTGTTTGGCCATTTTATGGAATTCCTAAGTGAAATTTTTGTGTAAATAAATATAGTTAAAAAAAACTGAAAAACGCTCTTTTAAAGCATATCGAACTAAACCAATAAAAATATGCTTAAAAGAATAATGAACGAAAAATACTACTATTATTGTGAAAAAAAGCGTCGGGCGTTCAATATACGAAAAATNAAAAAAGCGTCGGCCGTTCAATATACGAAAAATATGGAGCACAAAGCATCCACGCTTTTTTTCATAATAATACTAGTATTTTCGTTCATAATTGTTTTAAGCTATTTTTAAAATTATTTTTAACTTTTTAGTTGGATTTGCCTTAAAAATTTGTTTTTTTAATTTTTTTAACTATATTTATTTTTTACTTATTAGTTTTTTATGATATCGCTGTTACAGTCACGGAGTGCTTAATGTCAATTGTGACTATTAATAAATATAATTTCTGTATTGCCAGTTAATGTGTTTAGAAACTCACAACAATGTGTCTTATTACCATTGATAATAACGGCTATAAACCTGTGAATATCGTTATAAAAATCCAATTAGCTACATACATGTATGTTAATCCAAAAAAAATTGAATTTATAAATGTTTGTATCTAATAATAAACAATATTATCGCTTTTTTCACAATAATACTAGTATTTTTCGTTCATTAAAAATTATAATTAACTTTTTAGTTCGATGTGCTTTAAATGTTTTTTTTTTTAGTTTTAGCTTCGATGCGAAGTTAGAAGGTATTAATTTTCCTATGGTGTGGTTTTTTTTTATTTCATTTTTTTTTTGTGTCTGTTGCCACTTTTTCTCATTTCTTACCAGACAGATTTTTATTAACGTACGTCAAAAGATCACAAATCGTATCTAGCTGAAGATAATGCCCTTGAAAATTAAAAAATTTCCCTCATTCCTCGTAAATGGGGAAAATCTCCAAAAAAAATTACAATTTTATAAATAAGTAATTATCTACATTTTTTTCATTTATTTTTTTTAACTGTCATAACTTTTTGAAAAATAAACAAATCAAAATATTTTTTTTTTATATAGTAATCGTAAGTATTTCCCTTTCATTTAATATACATTTTTTGAAAACCTAACCCTTTACATGTCCACAGGGGTGAATTCAAAATAGCAAATTTTTTACAAAAGTCAATTTTTTAACTTTACTTTTAAAAATGTTCCGGAATTACTGCGTCCTTTAATCATATATTAAAATAATGCTTATGTTACGTACTAGAAGTTACTGTTTCGGTTATAAAAGTTAACAATTGAAATTTGTTACGTGACAAATTTTTACGTAATATCAGAATTAAAATTAAATTTTCCACCAAGGCAGAGGGTAACTTGTCCCCTCAAATGCGAGCCTGACTCTACCCTTTTAAAAAAGACTACATTTTGATAACAGAATTTTAGGTACGCAAATATATAACGATACATATTATACGATAATAAATAAACGATACGTATTTCGATATTTGAACATTTAAAGTATATATCTATAAGTAAATATCAATTGTAAATTGTTATTATTTTGTTTTTGATATTAATTAATATTTTTTTATAATGTTTAGTTATCATTAAAATGATAGAAAGTTGTAATAAACAAAAAGAAATAAAAGGTATGGATAGATGGTGTGTGGGACGGTAGGAGAAAAGGGTAATAGTGAAGGACGTTTGTAGTAAGCAAAGTAATTCAGGTTAGAGTAAGGAAGGAAAAGAAATCTAACGCAGGAGACCATGAGGAAATAAGAGTCGTAGCGGGCGTTGTATAAAGAAGGGTGGGCAGCAATGGAAAGTAAGAGTGGCTATAGGTACCGGGCAGTGACTACAATAAAATGAAATAGAAAGGGATCTCGGGGTATGTATGCTTGTGTAAAGACGTCTAATATGTGAATAATATGGAATTATAAAGAAGGGCCACTACCTAACTCCTGCACAGAAAAGCGTACACGAATTTCTGGCGAGTCACAAATATTTTAGTTTATTTTCAATGACCTATCTTATTCTAATTGTTTATTACTAAAAATTATTCAGTAAAGGATCTATTATAGACTTATTATATAAAAAAATGTTTCACTTACCTCTGACTATCCTGATAAAGCAGATATTCTCTTGAGATGAATGATGTGGTTGATGTAACAATTATCGATGTATACGTGTATGCATTAATGTACGAAATTATATTTATACGGTTTATGTTATTATTAACTCGCGTGTAACTACTTTTCTAGTACAATTCTACAATAGTACAAATCTACCCAAGGTGAAATCTAAGTTTATTATAACTCTGTTTTTTGTAAAACCCTTTTATATATTTATGTAGTATAGTCTTTAACCTTATATATGGGGTTTTACCTTAATATATTTATTATCTAATAATTTATAAAGCAAATAAAGAAATTCTAAACAACATAACTGTCCTGTGCAACAAACTATTTCCAAGTGGCCTACGTTTTTTCAGTCGTCCAAAGAGTGATCTAGGGTAGATGCGAGCTCAATTTCTGTTCTTTGCACAATAGATTATACTAGTGTCTTACACTCCGATTGCCCTCACTGTGGCTGAGATCAGACTAGCTAGTTGATAAGTGAAGAGACATTTTGTAGTTGTTTAGTATAATATTAGTTATAAGTATATTAGTATAATATTAGTTTTTAGTATAATATTTAGACTTTGATTTATTTGTATTTCGTAGCTGGATATACCAACGCGAGATCTCAAATAACATCTTTGTCTTTATGCAAAGAGCCTTATGATATGTGGCCTACTTCTTTTTAATCACTTGTAGGACGACCTAGGTTAGATGCGACTGTACTATAGATTTATGAACGATAAGTTATGTTAGTGTCCTACACTCCAATGGCCCCCACAATGGCAGAGATCAGACTGGCTAGTCGACAAGTATAGAGACACTTTGGAGAACGCTTATAATTAAAAATCAGTCACGTGACTAAAGTCCCGATATTCCACTATTCAAAAAATTTAAAGAAAATTGGAAAAATGTCAACCCCACCGAGATAAAATTTTATAGAGAATTCGTAGAAACTTATATAAGCACAACAAAAATTGAAACTCTACTTGAATTTTACCATGCTGAATTAACAAAAAAAATTGTCAGAGATGACTATCGAGAGCTGATAGAACTTTCAATAATATTTTTAGGAGGAGATTCAGAGAAAAAGTGTAAAATTAGGACACCAGGAGCAATGCACCAAATGTAATATAATACACTCACGAATGACGAGATTCGCACTTTCACTCACGGTTAATTTTACTTCGCGCATATTATAAAATAAAACAGCAAGTACTTGGCCATTAGAAGGAAGTTTTGAACCCGTAATTTGATGCTTTATGTCACCTATTAAGAATATTTCTTTTTTGGAACTCCTCAATACTAGTGACTAAATATAATAATTAAACTTGATATTTTATACTTCAAAATAACATAAAAATTAAAACTGACGCTACGTTAAATTAAAAATATAAAATAGGCTGCACAGAGGTAAACAAAATCAATGTAATAACGCAGGCGACTAAAGTAGTATAATAAAGAATTCATTATCATAAGTCGTAATCTTTTCCTGATTAGTGGAAATATTTGATAATAGCAAAATAATTTTACTCTATATGTAGATAATACAATAATATTATCACCGTACTTCATACATTTTGTAGTAACATACCAGATGATAAACGAAATTAACCAATAATACTCGTATATTTTGTAAAAATAAATATTCATCATGTTAAAACAATAAAACGATCGCCCCAATGAAAATTTTACTCATCACTTTTTGTTTAGAAAATTAAAATTTGAACAATTTTTATATGAAATATTACTTATTATTATAAACGATTCGTCAGATATGATGCAATATTCGTAAATATCTCAATTTCGAAAGTTTAGCAAAATAATACTGATTTTTCAATTTTTCTAGAAAACTAGTGGGTTTAGACGAAAAATTAGAAAATCTTAAGTTATACACAACATTTATATC